GGTCGGTGGTGGGTTTGAACGTGCCACCCTTGGTATATGGGGCCAGCACCCAACCCACTGAGCCACAGGCACCGCCCTGCTTCTTTTTTTTTTTTGAGACAAAGTCTCCCTCTGCTGCCTTCCACAGAGTTCTATGGCACCATAGCTCACAGCAACCTCAAACTCTTAGGCTCAAGTGATCCTCTTGTCTCAGCCTCCTGGGCAGCTAGGACTACAGATGGCCACCACAACACCTGGCTAGTTTTTCTATTTTTAGCAGAGACAGTATCACTCTTGGTGATACTGGTTTCAAACTCCTGAGTCAAGCAACCCACCGACCTAGGACTCCCAGAGTACAGGTGTGAGCCACTGTGCCCAGCCCATACCCTTCATCCTTTGAGTATTTTCTTTTATTTTTTTTTGAGACACAGCCCCAAGCTGTCCCCCTGGGTAGAATGCCATGGCATCACAGCTCACAGCAACCTCCAACTCCTGGCTCAAGCGAGTCTTCTGCCTCAGCCTCCCAAGTAGCTGGGACCACAGGCGCTCACCACAACACCCGGCTGTTTTTTGATTGCAGCCGTCATTGTTGTTTGGTGGGCCCAGGCTGGATTCGAACCCGCCACCTTAGGTGTATGTGAGCCACAGGCACCAAGCCTTCTTTTCTTTTTTTAATTAATTTATTTTGGGGGGAAGGAAGGATCCGGAGAAGGCCCAGGGCAAGGCCAGCACAGGGGTCAGCTCACCTGGGGCCCCTAAATATTTTCTTACTCTTTTGTATAAGATACTCTAGGCTAGTGTTTAACTTTTATTTCTCTCATGCACACTTGTGTACAGTTAAACTTTGATAGCACACTTAAATTACGTTAATAAAAAAAAAAAAAAGAGGCTTAGCGCCTGTAGTTCAGGGGCTAGAGTGCCAGTCACATACACCAGAGCTAGCAGGTTTGAAGCCAGCCTGGGCCTGCCAAACAACAATGACAACTACAACCAAAAAATAGCCGGGCATTGTGGCGGGTGCCTGTAGTCCCAGCTACTTGGGAGGCTGAGGCAAGAGAATTGCTTCAGCCCAAGAGTTTGAGGTTACTGTGAGCTATGACGTCACAGTACTCTACCAAGGGCGACATAGTGAGACTCTGTCTCAAAAAAAAGAGAGAGAGAGAGAGAGGAGAGAAATACACTACAGCTAGTCACAGTAGTTCAAGAGGAGTTGGAAACCAGCCTGAGCAAGAGCAAAATCCCATCTC